CTGACTCCTGCATTCAGAGTGCACTGTCCTACCATTAGACCATGCTGGAGGAACTGAAGATATGGACGAGACTTGAACTCGTGACTTTCAGATTCGTAATCTGATGCTCTGCCTTCTGAGCTACCATATCAGTTTTGGGAGGAAGTATGGGCAGGAATTGAACCTGCACCCTTCAGGTCCGGGGCCTGATGCTCCACCATTGAGCTACCATACCAATGATTCCAGCACAGGGAATTGAACCCTGACCCCTGCATTCAAAGTGCAGTGTCCTACTATTGGACCATGCTGGATAGAGGACGTGAAGATATGGACGAGACTTGAACTCGTGACTTTCAGATTCGTAATCTGATGCTCTGCCTTCTGAGCTACCATACCAAGCAACCCATACTGGGAATTGAACCCAGATGTTCCGGATGAAAGCCAGTCCATGGGAATTTTGAACCCAGATCTTCTAGATGAAAGCCAGATATCCTGTCCATTGGAATATATGGGTGAAAGTGTGGGAAGGAATTGAACCTTCAACTCACAAGCTGCAAGTGGTTGCTCTGCCACTGAGCTACCACACCTGTTTTGTTGTTTCCTCTGTTGCTGTTAGTCTTGGGCTTGTTTTCCCTTTTAGAAGGTGGGAAGGAGGGCAGGTTGCTCCTTTTCTCCTCGTTGGAGTATCATAGGGATGCGGGGATGAAACACGTCTGGGAAGTTACGGAGGACGTGGATCAACTTTTCCCCAATTTTTTCGACGGGTTTTGAAAAAAATGTAATAAAAAGGACTGGAATTGAAACTACGCCTTTGGTTGGTTGCGCGAGAGGTGAATTTCAGCAACTTTCTCAACGAGACAACTCCTTTTCGCCTTTGCGCGTCGGGGCAGTCAGGCTCAATGAGCAGCCCGCAGCGAGGTTTATCAATGCACCCCACCTCAAGCCTGAATCCCTTACCAATGCGCTTCCTGGCATGTCCACAGAAGCTTAAAGTGCAATTGCCACCAGCCTCACCCTGTTTTACAAGCTAGTACATTCTATCGCAGCCTCTCATTCCAATGTGTGGCAACTCCTCTAAGAGCACATTCTGCCTACATGTAGATCTCTCCAAACTCACCAGCTAGCTAAAAGCATTACAAAGTACCTTATAAATCCAAAACAATGATGGGCCTCTTGGTAGCGTAAGCACGCATCAAGCGCCCAATTCCATCAATCAATGAGAATTCCAGCCAAGAGCCCCTGCTTCTTTCCATTCTTTTCATCCGCAATATGAGCCAACTTGCACATGATGCCAATTTCTTTCGGGTTAGGTTGGTAAATGATTGCGATTGGCATGGGATTGACATCCACGATGCTCTTGGATGGAGCATGAAAAACGGTTCCTGCAAGAGTCTTTTGAATGCATGCCCAATTGGTCTCGTTGTAGCCTCGTCCCAGAAAGAAAGGCCAAAAGGGAATGTCTTGGTTTGGATTGCCTTGGATGGACTGCACTGCTCTACGGATCCCTTTGGGATCTTGTCCTTGCTTCGGAGTGCACGAGACAGGGAATAGACTTGTGAGGCTACCCCCATCGTTGGGATGGCAATTCGGCCAACGAGAACGATAGTCCACAGAGAGAACCATACAATCGTATGCCGGTTTCTGGGTATTGTGATCCACGGTGGCTTCACAAATGGCTGCAGTGACAACGTCGTTGGTACTAAGATAGGGCAGGTCTACACCAGCATTGGCTGTGCCATCATTGTGAGCCAGGAGCTCTTTCTTCTTGGCATTGATCTTGTCTTGGCTCAAGAAGATCTTTTGAGTCTTGGGCATCCCAAAGATAGCCGAAACAATTGCCATGGAAATGATAGAAATCCAGAAGGGAATCGAAAGAGCTTGATGGGTAAAATCAAAGGTTATGGCAGAACGGGATTCCCACTGAATGGCAGGAGGCAATATCGCGCTCTCATCCTCTTGGTGGCCACCTGTAAGTTGCAGTTTGTAAATGGAATTGAGTTCTTCCATAACCTTGTAGTACGTCACGCCATCACCAATAGCATGGCTAAAGCGGTAGGCATAGTAGAAGTATCCCTCTTCCAATTCCAGGACGTAAATGGAGAAGAGCTGCTTCTGTTGGGCCAGCTCGTCATTGCCCGGCTGGGAGGGCGGAATCAGAGGCTCCAAATGAGTTTGCACCAGTTCTTGTAGCTCGGCCGTCTTTCCAGCCTCCACCAACTTGACTGGGCTAGGGATGGTTGTGCCCCGAGGCACCTCGATGCGGTAGACAAACTTGTCAAACTTTCCGGGAGTTACAAATACGCCAGGATTATCTTTGGGACCATAGCACAAGGTTCCTGAAAGAATGGGGTTTCGATCCACCAGTCGATAGACCGCGGCTTCTAGAGCCTGCAAATCGAGATCTTTGGCAATGTTGTTGGTAATGATCGTCGCAGCACCAATGGTCATGTGACGAAAGAGGAACTGCTTGCTGACCGTGATCATCTTATCCGTTGTCATGGTCAAGGGGGAAATGGAAGCTCGGGCTGCGGTTGCACGTGCTGTCATTGGGAGCGGCGAGAATGCAGCCGCCCTGGTGACAGCCAACAGCAAAAGAGAAAAAAGTTGTTGTAGCCTACCGGTACGCATGGACAGCATTTAGAGCTTGTTTTTCTGCTTTTGACACAAAAACTTACCAGTCAAAAACAAAATGGAAATGTGAGAGAGTTTGTTGCTTTGCATGTCTTCAGATGCGACATCCTCTTGTCGAGTGGCAATTCCTGCGAAAGTCAGTTGAATGTATTGCGTATTGCCCACAACAAACAAGAGGGTGTCTTTCCAGGAGGTTGGCATCAAGATCATTCTATGCTTGTGAAAGATCCTATGTAGCGGCGTCAACGATTTCTCTTCCTTCTCATGTACCGTTGAAATGATCTGAGTCAGGCAGCATGCCATCACTTGATGTTTCGAGCCCCCTTCTCAACTCCAGGAGTTCGTGCCACCGTGCCACCTGGCAATCTTTGGCTTTTAAAGTGGCTTAACTGGCTTCTTCTCAGCAATGCCATCGCAACCCAAGATCCAAACCACTAGATCCAAATAAGCAAGTCTCCTGACTGGCTACCGCCTTGAGGATGTTTCTTCTGTCATCGCCTTTCTTCAGATTGGCGCTGTTGGTTCTGATTGGAGCCATCTTCTTCCCGTGTGCTTTTCCCTGCTGCCGAACCCAAACAAAGTGGCAACAGCCAATGCCAACGAAGAAAAAGCATGTTGTTCTCGCAGAGAATGGTGCTCGGCCAGTAGTGGGTTGCTACTGTCCCAGTGGTTATGGATGCCAGCACACGCCCTGGCAAGCCAAGAGGGAACATTGCCGTACTCAGAAACAACTACGTCTACCCGCATGCGACGACGACCTTGGAATCCCAGTCCCCTAATCGATAAAGCGGGCTATTGCAAAGGCATCTATACGCAAATCCCTGGGGATTGGGAATACGGCAAGGATCAGAGAGCACTGGGCCGGGCTCAAATTCGGCAGGTCCCAGGACACGGCAATTGTCTTTTTCATGCCATTAGCACCTGTATGGCCGAGGTGGTCTATGGCTCACCACTGCAGTATCCCGAGGATTTGGGATGGCTTTATGGTCATTCGGCCTATTTGCGACAATGCGATGTGGATCGTCTACAGCAAAAAAGATCGCTCTATTTAGTTGGCAACACTTATCTAACAACACAAGATTTGGTCCCACCAGCAGCCGCTAAGTATAGTATCAGTGCTGCAAGATATCTGGACCTGATGCAACAAGATGGTTATTGGGGTGGAGGACCACAAATTGTGGCATTATCCAATGTATTGGAGCGTCCAATTCATGTTTATGAGTTGGCCTCTTTATCTACTAGTACAGGTACACTCGTCACACGCAGTCATTGGATGCTTCCTTTTCTTTGTGGTGACAATGCAAGCGATTGCTTTGTCCTGAAATGCATTGCCCGTTTTGGCAGCCCCAAATTTGATGAGAAAGAACCCTTTCTGCCGACAGTCGATTTCCAGATATTCTACCAGGCCAAGAACTGACATCTGGCAATCATTTCTTGGCCGTGTTTCCCATTCTAGAACCACAGGCTTTGTTAGAAGATTTCTTGTCGCGAGGGGAAAGAAGCGCAGGAAATCAAAGCATGCGGTAGGGCACGGAACTTTGTTGGGTTTAGCAGCGGTTTCTACACTATTTGATTTTGTCAGATGAGGTCATCAGCTTCTTGAATGGTTTTACAACAATCAGCACCAAACGGATATCGCTGGCTTCTTGTGGAGGCGAACCTAGTTGAGAAGATGGATCCAGAGAAGATGGCCACAATCAACAATCAACAAGCAGAGACCCTTTTCATTCCCCGTGACAAAATCTAATCTTGTTCTATAGATGCTTCAACTCAATTAGTTTGTTGTAGTTGGAAGTATTTTGCCCGGCACCACAATTTGCTTTTCCAACCTTTTTTGTGCTGTTGACCATTTGCACAAACTATCCGAAACCAACATCCCAACTGTCATTATTGACAATCTCCCAAATTTTGGGGGCAGCAGCAAGTTTCGTAACTGTTACATATGTTCGTTGTCAGTGTCAAATTGGCCCAAAGGATTTTCTTTTCACAAAAGCTTTCTGGTATCTCATTTGCTCCTGCATGGAGCACCCTTAACGATGGCAGCTCCAGCACTTCGTGTGGAATGGTCCCACTCAGATCATCATTGTCCTGCAGCAGAAGCTCTTCCAACTGTGTCAAAAGACCCAATTCACTTGGAATTGTGGATTGCAAATTGTTCGAATTCAAGTCCAACAGAGTCAAGTTTGTCAGGAGTCCCAAGGTGGTTGGTAGCATCACAGATAGCTTGCATTGTGCAAACCTCAACGTGGTGAGAGAGGACTGTGGAAATGGTACCAAGTTCAGATTCAGCATATCCTCCAAAGAATCCTCAGCCTCAAAATTGACATCCAAGAAGCTTACTACTTCCAGTCCAGAAAGGAGAAATATTTCGGGAGGGATGCTCGATTTGGTTGGGTTATTCGAAACTGTTTCCACCATGATTTCTCGATACTGGCCTCTGTCATCGCACACACCCCGGGTTACGATGGATTGCCACATACATTCATCTCGGAAATAGGAGAGCCAAACATGTTTTTCCACCGCTATTTCCACGTACCGCAGGCAGGCAAAGTAGAGGCACGCTAGGCCAAATCGTTGTGTTTTTCGCCAGTCTGGAAACGAGTTCCAATTTGGATCATCTTCAATCCACTCATAGGCAAAATGTTGAGGTGATTGTGGATCCTGTATTGCCTGGATGGTGTCATTTCTAATATTTGGTACCAGGTAGAGATCAGCGTCGGATTGTGTCATTTTTTCAGAAGGGCTGCCACCGGTTGAGAGCGCTGTTGGGATGGCGATTGCCAATGCAATGACAACGATAACAATAACCCCAATGGCAAGCTTGTTTGATGCACAGGAGGTCTTTGATGTAGTTTCCACAGTACCTTCCCGCACATTACTTCCGTCCTCATGGTTTGCTTGGTTTTCATCCTCAGTATAGCCATCTTGGGGTGAAAAATGTTGGTTATCCACAGCACCTGGCAATCCTGGATAGGCACCCGGTAATTGCGAATTGGCAGAAATGGTAGTCGGAGTCTTGATGATACAACCTCTCTCGTCGTAAAGGACCTCGGGCCGGTTGGTGCGGTTCTCAGCTACCAGTACTTGTGGGGAGGCTGTAATTTTGGAAATACTATCCTTTTCGATTTCATAATCGGTTGCAGAGTTGTCATGACTTCGTAGGGCCACCATGCCCATCAAAAATTCATCATCGTCCTGTTGGCGTGCATTGACTGCTCGGGAAGAAGCAGTAACCTTTTGTTGTTGATCTTCGAGCTCCTGTCTTCTGCGGGGATCTCGATCATGAATGATCTGTTGGAGGTCTTCCAAGGGTATCCCTTCCTCTCCAGGTTCACCATGCTGCTGGTGGTAGTTGTGCCTTCCTGCTGGAGCAGTTGCCTCTCTTCTGGTGCCTCTTTGGTTGTAGGCTGAAGCCATTCTTCTTCGTCAAGATTATGGCAGCCCCATGCCTGGTTGTTGCTGCGCGTTTGCGTCTTGTAAAACTGTTGAGGTTCCACGGAACTCCGGACCCCCCTGGCTGCAGAACCGGTATCATCGCCGTTTCTTTGCTACTTTGCTGGCTTCTTATCAACTTTGGACGCAGTGACGTCATTCAAAAGGTTGACACCAAAACTCTTGCTTGACAACGTCCACAACGTCCACAACATCCTTTTCCTCTTCACCCGGTATCTCGAAGCTTCAAAACAAGCTCTGGTGACTAGCCTGTGGATGATATCAAACTGATGATGCTTCGCCCAGCATTGTCTTTCATCAGCTGTGGGATGCTGCTATTGCCAGCATGCATCCTTCCTGGGTGCTTTTCATTGTCGCTGATCCCAACCAAACTGTCGGCAGTTAAGGAAGAACCGTCTAGTGCCTCGTTTTGGGATGAAAAAATGGCGGTACCGCCATGAGGCGACATCTCTAATAGGCGTCTTTGGACCGTCATATAGTGCAACTAGGGCCACCTTTTGACTCTTCTTAGAGTCTGAAGACGTGTGGAGGTTAATAGGACGCTTCTATAGTCCATTACTTGCTGCCAACAAGTCGTGTCAAAAATAGGTGTCCGGTGGACTCCCACCACTGTTAGAGCTGATTCCAAGCCATTCCGCCGACATAAACTGGAAGAGGCAGCAAACAGGCGACGCCGGCAACCGATTCAACGAGTAAGCACGGCTAACCCACTAAAAGGAACCCTAATATCATGGGCCTTCGATCTGTCCACAAGTTGTCTAACATGTGTGTCTGTTGCTATTACAGCTCGTGATTTTGGGGATTTGGTTTG